TCTCCCTTCTCAATCTCCACCGTGTGTTCTGCCTTGCTTGTGACACATAGGTTAGGGTCAGTGCCTTTTCTGTCCAAATGCCTTATGACACCATGTATGGGGATGGTGTCTCAGGCTGTCCTAAGCCTGAGCCTTACTCCCAATTCACTCCCCTCCTCCGTAGTGACTTTCTCATCCTCCCTGGGTACATCGACTTCACTGCAGACCAGGTGGTGAGTATGGCCAGCAATTGGGTCCCGAGCATCAAGGTTTGGTAAGATGCTAATGTCCCCTGGTCTCTCGGCTACCTCACCAGATTGGGCTTGGGGGTGGATTCTATGGAAGGATCCTACCGGCATGCAGGTCATACAAGGCACCTGTTTTGTGGGGGACCTGGCGTCACCCTGAGGTATATGAGGTGCGTTCCCACATTAGCTGGCCTTATTTCCTCAGGACCTGACCTCTGCTCTAACCAAAAAGATCACTCTGAAGACCCCACTGGTTTCCTCACCCATGGACACAGTCACCGAGGCTGGGATGGCCATAGCAATGGCGGTGAGCACCGTGGGGTATGAGGGCAGAAGCAGTAGCGCCATCTCTCTTACCCAAAAACATGCAATTATGCCTCTGTCACTTTTTCTGTCTTCTGTTTATCCTGCAGCTTACAGGTGGTATTGGCTTCATCCACCACAACTGTACACCTGAATTCCAGGCCAACGAAGTTCGGAAAGTGAAGGTCAGAAGGGCAAGGATCGTGGTCAAGAGCTCCTGGGAATTGCACTGAGGTGGAGTGGGGTGGGAGTGGGGGATTTATTTTCCTAATTTAGGATCGTTTTTTCCCATTTGGGCGTTCAGTTTCTTAGAAGAGATTGAGACCCTGTGTCTTAAGGCAATAGAAGAGGACCAAGTCTTAGGCAATAGAAGAGGACCAAGTGGACAGTGCCTACAGGCCACCCATGTCTCCCATCCCTGGGTTTGAGCTGTTGGTGTGATTTGGTCCTGTGGCACTGCCAAAGGGGGAGTTGGCACAGACCCTAGGCTTCACACGAGGAGCCTGATGAAAGCAGTTCAGAAATGCCCTTTCTCACCATCCCTTCCAGAAATATGAGCAGGGATTCATCACGGACCCTGTGGTCCTTAGCCCCAAGGATCGTGTGAGAGATGTGTTTGAAGCAAAGGCCCGGCATGGCTTCTGTGGTATCCCCATCACCGACACAGGCCGGATGGGGAGCCGCCTGGTGGGTATCATCTCCTCGAGGGACATTGATTTTCTCAAGGAGGAGGAGCACGACCGGTTTTTAGAAGAGGTGGGTGCCACTGGCAGAGCAAAGCCAAGCTCTGGCAGCCCAGGCTAAAGACAAGGAGGCTTTCTTGCCTGAATGGCATCTTTGAGGGCCTCTGCTGTCCAGGAAAGGTGAATGCCCAGCCAACTTTCTGACCCCTGCATCGGGTTCCTGCATCCCTTTCCCACCAGAGGTTCTCAATCTGCCCAAATGTTTGCCAGCATATATGCTGTATTCTTTGCCACCCCCAGGGTGGGGGCAGTGCTCAAGGACCAACTTCAGCCTCCTCTTCTAATTCTCTTGTCATTGCTGTGTGACTCTTCTCTACAATGTAACAGGTAGTTCCATGTACCATGTTGTCCTTTCCACTCCATTCTCACTCTTGCCACTAGTTTGCTTAAGAGACTGTTGGGTTCACTTGAGAAGGGTGGTTTGGTTGCAGGTGTGAACATAGTGGTCTTTGGAATCTCACCCCTGAGTTAGGGCAGGGTCTGTTGGGAGATCTAGTCTCTGGCCCTTCCTCATAGCTTCCCGCCCTCCTAGATCATGACGAAGAGGGAAGACTTGGTGGTAGCCCCTGCAGGCATCACATTGAAGGAAGCAAATGAAATTCTGCAGCGCAGCAAGAAGGGTGAGTCCTATAGGTAGGAAGGGTTCTGGAACCAAAGACCAGGGTCCTGATTCATGTCCTGCCCTGCCCCCAGGGAAGTTGCCCATTGTAAATGAAGACGATGAGTTGGTGGCCATCATTGCCCGGACAGACCTGAAGAAAAACCGAGATTACCCATTGGCCTCCAAAGACGCCAAGAAGCAGCTGCTGTGTGGCGCAGCCATTGGCACTCATGAGGATGACAAATATCGGCTGGACTTGCTAGCTCAGGCCGGTGTGGATGTAGTGGTTTTGGTGAGCTGCTGCACAGGCAGGGCGGGCAGTAGGGGCAGCTGACATAGCATTCTCACTGGGACTTCATCCCTGTCCCAGGACTCTTCCCAGGGAAACTCCATCTTCCAGATCAACATGATCAAGTACATCAAAGAGAAATACTCCAGTCTCCAAGTCATTGGAGGCAATGGTAAGGCAAGACTGGGCATTGAAGGATGTGGGGTGAGAAGTGAGGGAGCTAGGTTCTCACCTAGACCTTCACGTGAGCCTTTCCCTTTTCTTCACTGCAGTGGTCACAGCTGCACAGGCCAAGAACCTCATTGATGCTGGTGTAGATGCTCTGCGGGTGGGCATGGGCAGTGGCTCTATCTGCATTACCCAGGAAGGTGAGAAGATGCTTTCACAGGGCCCTTAGTACCCCGATGCCCTGGAGTTGAGAGCTTTCATGGGAACTACAATGAGTCCTCCGATAGGGGCAGCCCCAGGGCCAAACAGGCCCCTTGGATGGGTGACATGCTGGAAGCAAGATGAGCTCTCGTCATTCCTCACCTGCCACTCTCCTTGCCTAGCCTGGCCTCCTCGCTCCTGCTCTGCGCCCTCTCTAAACTCTGGTCTGTTTGTTTTATTTAGCGGCTCCCAAGATCCCTCCAGCCATAAAGTCCCACAGCCCCAAATGCCCTTCTACTGTCACGGGCTGCTATAGTAAGTCCAGCCCGGCCCACTGGCCCGGCCCAGCTGCCCACTGCCCGGCTGCTTGGTTGACTGTAGCTGTAGCTCCTGGGGTTTGTGGTGCTGACGGGTGGGTAGGGCAAGCTGAATGACAGACCATGGTTTTGGGGCTGCTCAAGAACACAGCTTCCTCTTCTTCCTGGGGTGCCTATAGGGCAGGACCTCCTTCCCCAGGTAGGCCCTGCTCTGCCCACATCTCCTGCAGTAGGCACAGCTCCAGGATCAACTCTGGAGCCCACTCTTCCACTCGACCACTGCCCTGATCTTGCCTGAGCTGTCCACCATGCAGTGAGGAAGGGATGGGCCTCTGGGTACTAACTGCACGGTGACCCCTACCCCAGCTGATACCAGCTGGGCGGGGCTTTCCCGGCTGCTGACTGCATGTGCCTGAGGCTTCCCTGGGCCATGCACACATGCATGTGCACATGCAGGGGTGAGTGGAGGTCATCACAGTTCTTTGTACTGTTCAAGGCAGAATGGGCAGCAGCCATCCCAGACATGCCTCTTCCTAAACTAGGCTGCAGTCCTGGTGCAGGTGTAGCTGAGAGCTCCTGGGTGCTGAGTCGTGGCCACAGGGCCCCTTGCTTGTCCCAACTCCACCCACCCATCTGTTCCTCCATCTCTCAACAGTGCTGGCCTGTGGGCGGCCCCAAGCAACAGCAGTGTACAAGGTGTCAGAATACGCGCGGCGCTTTGGCGTTCCTGTCATCGCTGATGGAGGAATCCAAAATGTGGGCCATATTGCCAAAGCCTTGGCACTTGGAGCCTCCACAGGTGAGGACCAGCACCCAGGGAGCTTGGTGGGACTCCTTCCCCAGTGCTGCTCAGGGTCTGTCCCCAGCACTCCATCTGTCTATAGTCATGATGGGCTCCCTCCTGGCTGCTACCACTGAGGCCCCTGGCGAGTACTTCTTCTCCGATGGGATCCGACTCAAGAAATATCGTGGTATGGGTTCTCTTGATGCCATGGACAAGCATCTCAGCAGCCAGAACCGATATTTCAGGTGAGACAGCAAGGTCAGTTACCTTACGCTAACCGTGCACTAACAGCCTCATCCGTACTATGACTTTGCCCATGTTTCTTGTCTCTTCTTGCAGTGAAGCTGACAAAATCAAGGTGGCCCAAGGGGTGTCTGGGGCTGTGCAAGACAAAGGGTCCATCCACAAATTTGTCCCCTACCTGATCGCTGGCATCCAGCACTCCTGCCAGGACATCGGTGCCAAGAGTTTGACCCAAGTCCGGTAAGCCTGGGGAGCTGGGACATGGGTAGAGGGGCTGGTCCAGGGCCAGCTTCTCACATCTGACACCTGCTCCTCTTTAGAGCCATGATGTATTCTGGGGAGCTCAAGTTTGAGAAGAGAACATCCTCAGCTCAGGTGGAAGGTGGCGTCCACAGCCTCCATTCGTAAGTGACCAACCCTTTTCTACCCTCTGTCCTTGGGGTAGATGTCTCTGCCATGCCTCCCTCCTGCCCTCACCTCACAGCTGGTCCTTCTGCCTACAGGTATGAGAAGCGGCTTTTCTGAAAAGGGATACAGCACACCTCCTCAATTTTTCAATAAAAGTTTGAAAAAAAGTGATGCCTGATCTTTGAGGTCAACAGGCAGGTGGGGCTCTGCAACACCCTCATTTCCAGGGGAAGCCTCAGACCCTAAGGTATGGGTGCTCCATGGACCTGGAAGGGGATAGTAGTTCTAAATTCAAAAAGTCCCTCCTGAGGCAGCTGGCAAGCCAGCTCTTGACTCCCAAGGGTTTGGTCTCACATTGAGAATCTGACTGGCTGCTTAGGAAGGGTCATGGAACAGTCCATGGGGCTTTGGACTGGCATCTACAGGGCCTCCTGCTAGTCCAAATCTTGGCCACATGGGACCAAGTTGAGACCCACATACATGTTCTCTAACTTGAATCTCTAAAGGACTTTGTGGAGAAAGCACTGAGATCTCCTCAAATCTATATGTGAGCAAGTAGATAGATCTGCAGTTTGGAACAGATGCATTACTGCCTCCTGGCCTCTGTGGGGCCAGGCAGTCCAGATGAAAAGGTGACCTCTTGGTTTTTTCACATCCCCCACCAAGAGCCCACTGAGCCAGCAGCCCCTGGCCAGCAACACATCTAGTACGAAACGGGAGAGACAGATTAAATTATTAATATGCTAGCAAGCAAGTCAAGTGTTACAGTGCCAAAGGGGAGGGGCTGGTGAAAGTGTGTGGGGAACCCCTGCACTCTGCAAAAGGAGTCAAAATCCCCCTGGACAGGTTAGTTCCTGCTGGTTCATTCTGCAGCTTGGACAGTGAGTGCTGTCCCTCCAGGTGGGGGGATGAGAGCAGCTCCTGTGACTCGGCCTTCATGACACAGGAAGTTGAAAGTGGCACAGGCATTGGGCTGTAAAGAGAAAGCCAGCATCAGTTTGGCTAGGGCTAGGCCTGGGCTCCCCTCACCATTCCCAAGTCCCAGGGCTTACCGTGTCCTGCACTTCCACAGCGATGCCCCGCTGCCTCATGGCTCGCAGCACTTGAGCCTGTAGCCGCTCAGTCCGGTCTCCAGTGCCCACCACGACAATCTCTAGGAAAGGATAGGTATGGCTAGTGTACAGCCAGGTCTGTTGACAGGCTGAAATGGGAGTGGCTTTCTGGGGCTCAACACCTCAGCCCTCCCCTCCTCCAATACCTATTCGGGGCACCAGCATCCAGAAGAGAGAGAAGCTTTCTTCAGTGATGTCCTGGTGGGATCCTACCTGTGTGGGAAGGAGACAGGTTACATACAGATCGACGCAGCTCTCCCCACGGCCCCTTACCTGCTCCACAACGGGGCAATGGAAAAGCCAAGTTTGCCAGGGATAGAATAAAAGGGCAGGTCTGTGACTGGCCCTCAGTTTCCTCATTGCAGGGAAGGGCTCACGTTCCACTGCACCACCGAGTGCGGGAGCAGCGCGCAGGGCCCGAGCACGCGATTTCCGTTGACCGTGAAGCCGCGGCTGCTGTAGCTGTCGATGTACATGGCGTGCGGAGACTCGCGCTGCAGCAGAGAGATGCGCGTCCGCTGATACAGCTCGTCATCCGCCGGTGTGAGCCGATGCCCACGCCGTGGGGCCCTGCGGAGGCGTATGGTCAGGGTCTAGGTGCCGGACCGGGGATCGCCGGCCGTGGGGGGCGAGATGTTTAGGGACGCTGGGTCTGAGCTCACCACAGCAGCTCCGCGGACGAAGAGCGCAGTGCGGGTTGCGCTCGGTACACGCCGCGAAGCACGAACGCGGCAGCCATGGCAGACCAGGGCGCGGGAAAGCGGGCGCAGAGTCAGCGGGGTCGTAGCAGAGCCCAGCTCAGCCTGGATGCAGCGCCCCCTGCGTCACGGAGGGCACCGCACAGCTCGGTCGGCACTGCGCGGGAAGAGGGAGCCGGCCAGTGCCATCTGTCCCAGGAGGGCGCGTCCCCCAGCGCAGCTCCGGTGTCTGCACCTGCTACCCGCTCTGCCCTGGGCCCCCGCAGACCGTCCCGGGGGAGCCGGATACCAGGTGGCGTGGCCTGGCGTCCGGCTCTCAGCCATTACGCAGGGCTCCTGGGGCCTGGGGCGGGCCGGCCGCGCACCTGGTCGAGTCCCGCACACCTGGCTAGGGCGTGGTGCCAGCCTCCAAGACCCTAATCCCAGGCTTTCGGGCGTCAGGTTCCGAAGGCGAGGCGCGCAGCTCGAATTCCCCTCGCTGGCCTCCGAATCACGCCCCTCCCCAACCGTCACTCGCGCGACCGTTGGCGTAGCCGCCGCGCGTCGAGCGGGGCGTGGCCACGCGTGGATTGGCTTCTCGGGAGCGCGAGGGGGCGTGGCCGGGTGGTTTCACCTTAAAAATGGCACCGAGTCTGCGGCCACAACAAGCGGAAGAGGATGCTGTGCTGGGACAGTTTGAGCTGTTCGGGTGTTACCGACTGGGCCGAAGCGGACCAGGCATTGAGTTAGACAACGGCTGGAGCATCGCCCTGTCCTCGCTCACTCTGCTAGCGTCCCGAGAATTCCCCCGCCCTCCGTCTTGAGCCGAATCACAGGGGCCTACTGACGCGAGAGTCGCTGGCGTCCGCACGGGGTTCCGGCATCTCGGAGCGCCCACCGTGTTGTGGCCTCAGGGGAATGTTGCAGCGTCTGCTATCCGCGGGGCGGGAGGGCGGGAGGCTCAGCACGACCGAGGACGGTCGCAATGGATTCTCCGGGGTCCCGTCGCCGCCGTGTGGGCCCATTGGACTCCTAGCGCTCCTGGCGCTGGCAGCGTCACCGGACAAAGGGCCCCGGGTAGGGGGTGTCCCGACGCGGGCGCGCGGCTTTACTTCCTCTCCGGTCCCCATGGGCGTGCTTCCCTCTTTGGCTGATCCCGAAGCCTGCCCCGCCACCATCACCGCACCAGTGGCTCTGGCTGCATGGGACCAACAGGACTAATCCTACCCCGCGGATCTAATCCGGCTCGGGACCCCGTCCCAGGGGAGGCCCCCCCCACCCCTCCTATTGTTTTGGTGCCCAGGTGAGGGGCTCGTTCCCACTAGACTAGGTTTCACCGCCTACTCCTGGGTCTGCCTCCTGGGACTGGGAATGGAGGGGTGGGGGTTCTGATCTGGTCCCTGGCCGAGGGACCGACCCCCTCCTCGACACCCTCCCCCCCCCAACGGCTGGACAGCGGGCAACGGAATCCCAAAAGCAGCTGTTGTCTCCAGAGCATTCCAGCTGCGCTTGGATTTCGTCCCCTGCTCTCCTGCCTGAGCAACGTCCTGGCCCAGATGGGGTGGGCTAGCCCCTGACCCCCAGACATGCTATTGGGTTGCTCTGGGCTCAGTCCATCTCAGGTGCGCCCTCAGACTGGAAGTGACGGTCGTAGACGTCGGAGAGCCGGGGCAGTGGCCATCTCTCGAACCCAGGGTAACATTGGTGAAGGAGGGAGGACCTGGGGCCTCCAGATAGGGCTGCAATGGCGATGAGTCCCACAGGGCCGCCCCAGCCCGCAGCTCGCTAAAGATAGCCCTCCACTTCCTGGGGAAAAACCACCCCAACCGCCTTCGTGTACAGAGAGTAGCTGAAGTCCCCAGCCTCAGCCTCTGGTCCCCAACTCTGTTAACAGCTGTCCCCGGGTCGTGCGCCTGCGGCATGGAAAGCGCTTTGGAATGACACGATCACTCCCGTTGAGTGGGCACACAAGAAGCCATCGGGAATGTCGTGTCCGCCCAGGGCTCTTTCGTTGCCTCCCAGCAGGGCCTTGAAGCCCTGGCCAAGAAAGGGGCCTTGCCAAACTATTCCTGCCCCTAGGATCCCCTACTTTCTGAGCTCTGGGCACTCACACTGCTCCAGGGCAGAGATCACAGGTTTCCCAGCACTCTGTGCTGCATCAGGTTCGATTTCCATTTAAAAAAAGAGAGGAAAAGGGGATTTAAGTTACATTGAAGTGAAAACATTCGGGAGCCCTCATGGGACAGAGGAAAGAGCTTTCTCTCTGGTAGAGTGGGATGTTCCAACTGAAAGCTATCTTTTAGCTGGGTCTTCTCATGGTCACATTGTTTAGTTGGCACACAATGGCTCATTATTGCCTAAATCAGGAAGCGGGAGGATCCTTGTTAAAGTACACCAGGCTAAAGGAGAAACATTGAAAAGCTGGCATTTCTGGAAACCGTCATGATGCTTCTAATTCCTCAAGAATCAAGAGGAGAAAACCGACAATTCTATCAGAGTGAACATTTACGGGGAATAAAGATGACATATCTCAAAGGAAAAATGCTTGCAAATAACCTGAAACCGCAGACCACAAATTCTTTTAAAAATGAGATATTTTTTAATAGGTCGTAAAAGTGGCTTTAATGTTAGCTGCCCTAGTCCAGTGACAATTCATTGGGAACTTTTGACGTTTTGATCACGTATAAAACGGGGGAAACGAAACGTTATCAGATACACGGAGATGTAAGATTTCAATGAGAGAAAAGAGGCCTGTCTGAGCCTCCACCGGATCCCGAGGATCCTTTCCCTGGTTGCTAATGCGGGTGATGGCGAAAGAACCCAGAGCGGACTCCGAGATTTCGGACCCGGGGCCGGGCAGGGCAGATGGGCCACGCGAAGGAAGCGCTGGGGCCGCCGTGGTTCTTTTTGGCGCACCTGTCCACTAAGGAACCACAGCCAGATCCCCGCCCCGGCTAACCGGTCCTGCCGGAAGTTCGACCTCCCGACATTTTGCTTCCGGTTCCGCTCGCTCCTTCCGGTCGCCATGGCGACGGGGCGCCTTGGGGTTGTGGAGACACTGGGGGCCCTCAACGCGGCCCTGGGGCCAGGCGGTCCTGTGTGGTTCAAAGAGACGCGCGCCCGCCACCTGCGTGCCCGAGACTTCCTGGCGCCGCGGCGCGCGCTACAGGCGCGCTTCGGGGACGGACAGGTGGGCCCGAGCCGGGCAGGGACGTGCGGCTAGGGGTAGCTGGGAGCGCCGCGTCCCGCTCACCCGTCTGTCCTCTCGCAGGTGCCCGAGCGTGTGGTTCATGCGGTCGCCGACCTGCAGGGCCCCGGTGTGGCCCCAGTGCTGCGCTGCGCGCCGACCCCCGCAGGTCTGACCCTCCAGCTGCAGCGGTCCGCCGTCTTCGAGCGCGTCCTCGGGGCCGTGGCCGCCTATGCCGCGCCCGCCGCGCCCGCCTCACCGGGCTTGCGCGTCATCCTGCACTGCCCGGCGCTGCGCGGCGCGCCCTGCGCACTCCGCCTGAGCCAGCTGCGCGCCGTGCTTGTGGCCGATCACCTGGCGCGAGTTCTGCAAGCTCACGGGTGAGCGGGGACACTCGGCCAGAAAAGAGAAGGCGGACCGTCCTGGGTGTACAGCTGCGCAGCCCCTGGGGACTGGCCGTTACGGGTGGGAAGTAGGGGTGAGCTGGGCCAGGCGCTCAGGCTGAGGCGGCCGCCTTCTTTTCACAGGGTGAGTGTGCGTCTAGTGCCCGCTGTGCGGGACCCGCACATGCCGACCTTCCTGCAGCAACTGCGGGTGGACTGGCCCACTGCCTCGGAGAGATCCGCGACCGAAGCCCTGAGAAGCAGCGCACTTGCTGAGCTTACCCTTGCCCATGACAGGGAAGTCCTGCCCCCTGGCGTCCTGGGCAGAGTGTGCTTGAAGGAGCTGGTGGAAGAACGGGGACGCACAGCTGGCTATGACCCCAATCTGGACAACTGTCTGGGTAAGACCTGGAGGGCCAGAAAGAATGCGGGGACCCCCGCACTCCTGGTTAGCGTCAGCGCCTGTGTGTTCTCCTTGCAGTGACTGAGGATCTGCTCTCCGTGCTGGCAGAGCTACAGGAGGCTGTGCAGCGTTGGCCTGAGGACAGCTCCCTAGGCCTGGTTAGTGATCCACTCCTCATACTGTAGGCCTCTGGCAAACCGGTTGTCCTGTGTTCCCCCAGTGACTGTCCTCCTACCCCATAGGCTGCGGCTCCAGATGCTGGTGCAGACAGCTGCATGGTTGTACACGTGGTGAGCTGTGAGGAGGAGTTCCAGCAACAAAAATTGGACCTGCTTTGGTGGAAGTTGGACAGCCGGGCTCCTCTCAGACAGGTAGGTTAGTGATGATGGAGCGCCCCCTCACCAACCTCAGAGGCCCTTGAAAACCCAACAAGGGGCCTGTTAGCTGACGGGTCCAGAGGTGACACTTGATCTTGGGGAAGATGTTAGGTTTGGTGACTGGGCACATGCAGCAGGTGCAGAGGCCTGGGAGAAGGTGGGGTCTGGAGGCACATCTCAGAGACCACTGAAGAATAGGTTGAGGAGGCCGGACTGCATTCTGAGAGGCTGGGCTTGAGAGAGGCACTAAGCCTGGTGGCTAAAAGCTGGGGGAGTCCAGGCACCAGATTTAGGTTTCTTGAGGGATTTATTGCTGGAGGGTATCGCCAACTGGTTGAGGCCCTGCTATCTTTCTGACAGAAGCACCTGGTCTGTGGCCCAGTGAAAGTAGCTGGTGCACCCGGCACCCTGACTGCCCCCGAGTACTACGAGTGAGTGAGGCTGGAAGGAAAGCCACTGAACCAGGGTAGTTGTGGGGGGGGGGGGGACTCTGCCCACTGGCCCTCTTCTCACTCTTTTCAAAATGCAGGCTCCGGCATGCCCAAGTATGCAAGGCCTCAGCACTGAAGCACTGCAGGGACCTGGCACAAGGTGCACATGGGAGGCCCTGGCTGTGCTTCAGGGTAGGGGCAGGTTATTTGCATCCCTGCCCCTTGTTCCCTGTCTGCAGACACTGACTGACCTATACTCCCTCAGACCCAGCCTGGACAGAAATCTTTGGGGTTCTCTCGGTGGCAACCATTAAGTTTGAGATGCTCAGCACAGCCCCACAGAGTCAGGTGAGCCTGGGCGTCCCACAGGACCAGGGCTGGGGAGACAGGCTGTGTGGTGGCTGCCCTCCCTCTCTGCAGCTCTGCTCTATTCCTCAGCTCTTCCTGGCTCTGGCCGACAGTGGCATTTCCACAAAGGGCACCAAGAGTGGCACCTTTGTTATGTACAATTGTGCCCGTCTCGCCACACTCTTTGAGGGTTACAGGCGCAGCATGGAACAAGGTCTGTACCCTGCTTTTCCACCTGTGAGCAGTCTGGATTTCTCACTGCTACATGATGAGGTGAGTGTCCCTCCTGGGTAGCTGGTACACACAGGCAGCTTGGACTTTCCCTCCCAGCACCCTTCTCCCCCGCAGGGTGAGTGGTTGCTGCTCTTCAACAGTGTCCTCCCCTTCCCAGACCTGCTGAGCCAGACAGCAGCACTGGCCCGCACAGCCCCGGGGCTCCACATCACTGCACGCACGGAGATGGTGAGGCAGAGAAGACTAGGACAGACACTGCACACTCTGTTCTTTATTCTGGTCTGGGGCACAAGGGCAAAAAGATAAGCCAGTGACTCAGTCTTTCTCTAGGTCTGCAAATTCCTGGTGCAGCTCAGCATGGATTTCAGCTCATACTATAACCGTGTACACATCCTAGGGGTAAGTGCACAGCAAAACGGGGTGTGAGGGGGATGTAGGGGAAGCAAAGGATGAGACCAGCAGGCCCGTTCTCTCCTGCAGGAGCCTCGGCCACACCTGTTTGGTCAAATGTTTGCCCGTCTGCAGCTTCTGCGAGCCGTACGTCAAGTGCTCCACACTGGCCTGGCCATGCTGGGTATCCCTCCACTAAGCCACATCTAAGGGCACAGAGGCCCCAGTATCTGGGAATGTTCACAAAGTCATCAACTGGGGAAAAAAAGCAAAAAACTTACAGATTTTGTTAGAGACCTGGAGCCAAAATAAATTGCTTATTACAAAGCTTTGTCTTGTAGGGGTTGGGACAGGTTTTTACTCTGCCCAGGCAGCACTCTACTCACCTCTAGCTCCTGCTCTGAAGTCAGGAACCCGCGGCTGCCTCCTCCTCCCCTCGAGGCACACTAGGCATGGGCACAGACACTCACTCCTGCTCCACTCTGTCTGTGAGCAGGCCCCATGCCTAGCACACCGGCCACCGCGGGACACCTCAGTCATACCAGTTGTAAACCTCAAGCCCCTGGCCCCCAAGAGCACAGCGGTGGCCAAACTCAGGGCTCACGGGCCAGCAGTCCATGTCGGCCACATCTGGTACGTGGTACACTGTACTGTTCATGAAGGTGGGCTCACCGTGCCCCAGACGCCAGAAGGTCAGCCGTTGGTCAATGGAGGCTGAGACCATGAGGCTTGGGCTTAGGATCTTGAGGCCTGTCACATGGGCAGCATGTGCACAGGGGACAGAGTATTCCTCTAGCACATGCAGCTGAGGTACCAGCTCAGCACCCCCCACAGCCTCTTCCAGCTCTGACACCTCCACAGCAAGCACAAAGACATGGAGGGAGCCATCCTCACTGCCACTGGCCACAAGATGGCCCTCATGTGTGGGCAAGGTATGCAGGCTGTTGACACCACAGCTGTGAGCCTGGAGGGTCAGGCAGGGGGTTCCCAGCCCTGGAGAAAGAAGATGGTCGTCAGGGCCCAGCCTGCCACATGGGTGAATGCAAAGTGGGAGGCAGGGAGGGACAGCCATGGTTGCACACTAGCTACTCACGGTGGGGAAGCCCAGGGTCCACTGGAGGCTCCAGGGCAGTGGAGCCATGGTCCAGCACAGTGGTGAGATCCCAGAAGGCCAAGCTGCCATCGGTGGCTGCACTGCAGAGGAACAGTCTCCTGGGAGCCAGGAGAGGGCAGCTGGGTCAGTGAGGGAGATAGAAAGCAATAGAAGTCCCCACTCGACCCATGAAGAACTATCATGCAGCCCCTCTCACCGCCGCTGATTGCGTGCCTCATGCATAAAGGAGTGGACCTTCAGGACACACCGCTTGTGGTGGAAGGTTTCAGCCAGGAGCTGCAGCCGCCGCCCAGAGTCCTGCAAAAGAAAGAGCCTGGGGGGCGGAGGGTGGCCCAGCTCAGAACCCATTCTGGACAACCTTACATCCTTTGTCTCCTGGCCCCCTAGACCCTTAGGCTCTCACCTCACTGCCCCATCACTACAGGCTGAAGCCACAAGGGGTCCAAGGCCAGGCCTGTCGAGCTCACACACAGCTAGAGACATGTACCTGCAGAGACAACACACGGTCATCAGGCAGAGCCTGAGAGCAGCTACACAGGGCTTGCCCTACGTGATCCCACCCCATGCTCCTGCCTGGCAGTGCACATCACCTGGTCTCTGGGTCCACCTTGACCATCCGGTGCCGATTGCGCTGCCGGTCCCAGTACTCATCTAGCCGGTGGGATGAAAGGTGCATGACATGGCAGGCGAGGCGGCTTGGGGTGCTAGGGTCCAGGGTAACCATGATGTTGAAGCAGTGCATCTCAGCCCGGCCCCCCGCCGATACCACGTGGGCAGTCAGGCCTGGCCGAGGATCCTCAGGGTTGCCTGGGGTGCCAGTGCCCCACACAGCCACTGCACGCACCGAGGAGATGTGGTTACAAACAGCTGTAAGCGCATGGGCTGAGCCCGTGGCTGTGGGGAGTGCCAGGACACAGACAGTAGTGTCCTCGCTGCATGTGATCACGATGTCGATCAGGCCAGGCCCCTTGCTGCCAGGCTCCAGGTGGTCAGGATGCACAAAGCTAGGCACCCCAAATTCAGGCCCCAGGGTGATGGTGCCCACACGCTTTACACAAGTGATCTCACGGCCATGCAGGCTCTCCCGAAGAATCACGTGTGGCCGGGTGCAGCCACCCAGAGCCTGGTACAGCATGACATCCCCATCCTTGAGGTAGGCGAAGGCCATAGCCGCCTCAGTATCAGAGAAGGCCCAGGAGCGATGCCCTCCACCACAGTTGATGATATGCAGCTTCTCATGTGACCGGGGGCTCCACACCACAAACTCATTGGCGTGAAAACCCAGGATGACCATACTCCCATCAGCCACCATACGGAGCCCAGCCACCCAGTTCATGCCTCGACAGGACTTCTGCCTTAGGACTGGTTGGAGTTGGCTGCCTCGCACAAGGAGCTGGTAGTAGGCGCCATCACGCCCTGTGGTGTACACGTAGCCACCATGACAGGTGACTGAGGTCACACCCTGCTTCCCATGCAGAGAAGGGAGGGTGGACAGAGGGCCCCATTCGGCCAAGGTGTTCTCACCTCCACCACTGCCACTACCTGCTCCAAGTGCTCCAGTACCAGCCCCAGCCTTGCCTCCAACCCCAAGATCCTTGAGCAGACCTGGTCTGGAGGGGAACAGCAACACAGAGCCCCGGCGGTCCCCACACACCAGGAAGTCCCCCGGGGGTAGGAAGGCACTGCATGTGTGCCATCTCTGCTTGCTCGGAGGCAGCAGGTACCGGCAACGTTCCTTGACAAAGATGGCCTTGCCAGAGGGTGCAGCTGAGATCTCTAGGCAAGCCACCACACCGCCAGGGCCTGATGCCAGCAACAGGAGCTCCTCGTAGCCACGCAGGGCCCAGCTCAGGCTGTGCACCTTCCCATGGAACAGGTTCAGGTCCACAGCTGCAGTTGGAGTGTTGATAGGGACAACCTTGACATGACCCTCCCCACTGGCCATGGCACACAGTCCGAAGCCCTCAGGACCAGGGGCTGCCTCCAGGAGGCAGTAAGACTGGAAACGCTTGTCCTCCAGCAGCTGCTCCCAGCACTTAACCTCAAGGTCATAGAGGTACAGGGCCCCTGCATCAGTCACTGCCAGTAGTCTCCACGAGCCAGCCAGCGTCACAGCCTTGAGGGCACCGGGCCTGCTACAGGACTTGAAGCAGAGAGCTGAGACCCCTGAACCTGGGTACCCACGCCCTACCAGGTGCCATAGCCGGATGCCTGAGTCATCGCCCCCAGTGATCACCCAGGCCTGCCTCTCATGAGCAGCTATGGCCCGGATCCCACGGCCCTGGTGGCCCCGAAAGGCCTGGAGGATCTCACCTTCGTGGCTCCATACCAAGCAGACACAGTCCTCTCCTGCACTGATAAGGTAATTCTCTAGGAGCTTGACTTGCCATACACGGGCACTGTGCCCAAAGCAGTGCCCAATATTCTGCACCCGACCCCCAGGCACCCGCAGGTCACCCACCTTCCAGATGCGAACACTTCGGTCTTCTGAGGCCGTAGCCAATAAGCCCTTGCTTTCCAGGTATGACATGCTGAAGATGACACCCACATGCCCACTGACCCGTCGGTCAGGGGCCACAGGCTTATTGTCTATTAAAGCAGCTGCTGGGTACCAGACTAGCAGCTGATTGGAAATGGCACCTGCCACTATGGTCAGCTCCTTCCAGGTGTCTCCAATTAGACAGGCTGAAGAGAGGGTGCACCTGTCTGTACAGGGCACCTCCTGCAGGATGCACCCCACCACAGGGTCGTATAGCACTACTGAGTTGTGGCCCAGGGCCAAGGCCATGTTCCCTTCAAGCCAACGTGCATCCCAGATCCAATCAGACATGTTCCACAGGCCAGAGCGCCAGAGCTCCTGGAAGCAGCCCTGTCCCCAGCTAACTTTCACAACTCGGAGTCCCTTGCTCCCAAACACGGCCACCATGGCCTCCGAGTCAAGGTCTCCAATGGATTCTGGTCGTACTCGGAACCCATGGATAAGATAGTGGCCAAGCAGGTTCTGCACTCGCTTCATCATCCGCAGATGTCCGCCAAAATCCAAGCTGTACACCAGGACATCAGGCCCCTCACCTAGACAGAGGCAAAGAGCCACATCAGGACCCCTCTCTCAACTCTGATGGAGCCAAGAAGAGACAGGGGAGCAGGGAAAACACTCAGCATGTAGCCCATGAATATATTAGGATACACAATCCTGCAGGCTTGAACCTTAGAAAGTCCTTGGTCTCAGCTTCAGCTGGACTTTCAGAGCTGACTTTCTGATCCCCTCATCAGTCACTCCTGACATTCAGTTCAACCACAAATTCCTCAAACTCAGTCTCCTCCTCACCCAACCTAACTTCTCATGCTTCAGACAGCAACCATCTCAGCTGTAGTCCCCAGATCCTTAGCCTCATCTATCTCTACATGCATCTTCCCACTCCTCCCTCCCCCAGGGGAGAGGCTGTCCTGCTAAAGCAATCATTCCACCTTGGGGCCATGGCAGAAACCCTCCTGATTTCCAGGAGCTTCTTCCCTGTTATCTCAGAAGATGTGAGCACATTCAACATCAATGGGGACAACTAGGAGAGGCAGCCCACACTTTGGCAGCAGAGGTTCCTGTGACCCTCAGCTGCCTCCTGGATGCCCTGCAGGCAACTCCCACTCCACTAGCTCATCCTCAAGTTCTCTCAATTCTCCTCATACAATGATCTTTACCACCCTCTGCCCACCCCCCAGCCCAAAACTGGAAGTTCACAGCTTACTCCTTTTAACTTCCCACATTTCCTCTGGCTCCAAGTTCTGTAGATTTCATTTTCTAAAGAGTTTGTAAATCCTCCCCACCACAGTGACTTTGATTCAGGACACCATTTCTTAACCTGAGATGACGATAACTGTCCCTCATGCCATTCCTAGCCTGCAATCCCAATCTTTCAACATTCAGTAAACATTGATTGAATATCAATTATAAACTAGAAAATGAACTATATGCTGGAATAGTAAGACAAGCTCCTATGGATTAGGCAGACACTAAACAATATTACACAAGTAAATTATATCATTATAATTTTGGTAAGTTCCAGGAAAGAACTATATAGGTTGCTTTAAGAATATAAAATAGGAAAGTCTACTCCAATGGTTCTCAATACGGCAATTTCCCCCCAA